TTACCTCTGCTAACTCAATCATATTGTTTGCATATGATCCTATATGAATAGGCAAGGTTAGAAGGACATTTGGAAAGGTCCAGCTATACCTTGTTAACGATCTTGCTTGCTTAACTGATTTTAGAAAAACACATGTTTAGATTTATGACCCCCTTTTTGCAAACTTTATTGTCCCTTTGCTGTACACCCTTTGATTAAGAGTCATACTTTCTGTACCCCTTGTGATTTTTTGTTCTTGATTTTATTTCAAGATACAATGGAATGTACGTCACTCCTCAAACACTGAAAGGTATATAACCTGTAGTTTGCACAAGTAAACTTGCTGTCTTGGCACTTCTTGCTCCGGCATTGCCTGGCAGTCCTCCAGACCCCGCTCTCTATCTATCTTTTCTTCTGCGCACTCCCTCTTCCAGGTTAAGAACACTTGAGTGGGGCCGAGGCTCTCCGCTGGACGGAAGCCGCCCGGCAGATGTGCCAGACCCCCACACTACACCATGTAGCCTAGGTGTGTAGTAGGCTACGCCACTGAGGTTTGTGTAAGCACCTTCTACGGTGTTCACACAGTGATGAAATCACCTAGTGATGTGTTTCTCAGAAGGTATCCCTGTCATTAGGCGACCCATGCCTGTATGTATTCCGTATGTAAATAGTCATGAGCATGTGGGTAGTTACAATTAAATCATCAGGCGCATCGACTTTCCTATCAGAGTATGTGAGTATTTGAGATATGTAAGGCAAAATAGATTTGTTGTTCTTTGCATATGACATTTTGAGATGAGAGCTAAATTAAGATAATCAGGCCAAATCACTGAGGTGGCTTAGATTTTTGCTCAAAAATATTTACTCTCTTCCCTCCACCTCCACAGGAGGCGTGTGCTTTCACTTTTCCACTATTACCAGACTTTGGGCTTGGAGATGGGCCTGCTTTGGGCACTTGGGCTAACAGCAGACAAGACTGAAATAAAACCTGAAATGTGCTGTGCAGGGAGGCTCACTTTCTCATGCCTCTGCCTCTGTCAAGAGAAGGGCCTCTCTCAGGAATCTGCTGCCCCATCTGCCTGGGCCCCACAATGAGACACTCAGAACAGACCTGGGCCCAACCCAAGCAAGGGGCCAAGCCCAGCTAACCACGCTTGAGGCAGGACTGCCCAGCTGAGCCCAGCCAAGACCAGCCAACCCCCAGAAAATCCACCCATGCATGGGAGAGAATGATTGTTGTTTTGCCTTGGAATGGCTTATTATGCAAAAGTTGCTGACAGACACAATGATCGTGAATGTAAGGGCTACAGATGCAGATGATACAGGCAGGTTGTCCTGGGAATTCAGATCCCGGGCCCCAGGTGCTATTGCTCATGGGATTCTTCCACGATAGCATTCTGGACAAAACACAGCGTAATTTTTCCCTCATTCACACAGTGGTTGCATTCCTGAAATATTCAGATATATTAAAACTGTACCAAAATACTTTGTTTTTGTACAGTGTCAATCAAAGTTAGATTCTAGGCTAAAGTAAATGTAACAGCTTGTTGAGCTACATAAATGTTTGTGCAGACAATAAAAGTATGTGGGACATTAGGCAGAACTGTCCTAACCATTACAGACCACTTAGCACCCAGCTGCCCCCCAAATACCAGAAGTGTCCTTGAATCATTGTGAAAGCCAAAAACACCTCCACACATTTCCAAAATTCCCCCAGGTGGCGTGGCCTTGTTGGAACCTCTAGATGAGATGTCTCAGGGGCCCCTTCCAGCTTAAATATTCTCAGACTTAAAAAATGTGCTCATAGTAATAATTTAATCAAAATGTAGATAGTAAATGTTATGTGCTGGTAATTTTTTTTCTGTGACAGGGTCTTGCTCTGTGTCACAGACTGAACTGGCATGAACACGGCTCACTGCAACTTCAACCTCCCAGACGCAAGTGACCCTACTACTTCAGCCTCCCGTGTAGCTGGGACCACAGGCACACATCACCACACCCAGATAATTAAAAAAAAAAAATGTTGGTAGAGATGAGGTCTCACTTTGTTGCCCAGGCTGATCTCAAACTCCTGGACTTAAGCAATCCTCCTGCCTCAGCCTCCCAAAGTACTAAGATTACTGCGAGCCACTGGCCAGCACTGTTGATAAAAGAAAAATACGCAACCATTGCTCTCAAAGGGCTTGCAGTGAAGAGGGGAATGCAAGCCAGCAATTAGGCAACTGTAATGTGAAGTGATAATTCGTACCGGGAATGCACATTCAGGATGCTGCAGGAGCACAACCCAGGGGCATCTAACCCAATCTTGGGGCTCGGAGAAGGCTTCCCTCTCCTGGGAGATGAGTAGGTGTTAACCAAGCAAGCAGCGGTTAGAGGTGGAACAGAGGAGAGGGAGCAGGCAGCACACTCCACCCATATAGAAAGGGTCATTATCATGCATCTACTGAACTGCAAAAGGGGCCGTAGACTTGGACTTGGATAGATTTCAGTTCAAATTCTGGCCAAACTGTAATCCTGAGTCATTATAATGACCAAATTTTATTCATTGCATATTATGTTCCAGCCTCTGTGGGAAGTACGTGATATGAATCATCCCTCTTAATCCTCCCAACGGTACCCTAAAAGGGTAGCTGCTGTGGTTATCTTCCATGTTATAGACTAAGAATAACTTGCCTAGGCCGGGCGTGGTGGCTCAAGCCTCTAATCCCAGCACTTTGGGAGGCCGTGGCAGGTGGATCACGAGGTCAAGAGATCGAGACCATCCTGGTCAACATGGTGAAACCACGTCTCTACTAAAGATACAAAAAATTAGCTGGGCATGGTGGCGCGTGCCTGTAATCCCAGCTACTCAGGAGGCTGAGGCAGGAGAATTGCCTGAACCCAGGAGGTGGAGGTTGCGGTGAGCCGAGATCACGCACTGCCCCACGCAGCACACCTCCTCTAATCCTGTTTCCTCATCCATGAGATGAAAGCAATCACAGCTCCTGTGATTTATACATGGACGAAGGGGTGTATATATTTAAAGCACTGGAAACATTGGTAGAATTAAAACCAAAAAATTACACTTATTATCCAAATTCTAATTTTTCCTTTATAAGAAGTATCTTTAAAAATTTTTACCTGTATTTTAAAAAAATGTGGCTACGAAAAAATTGAAATTACATATGTGTTTCATATTATATATCTTTTTTCTAATTTTATAGATTTAGGGGGCACAAGTGCAGTTTTTGTTACATGGATATACTGTGCAGTGGTGTGATTCTTCCCTTTTTAAGGGAGGAACATAATCATTTGGAGAATGTACAGTGTATATAGCTTTAGTTACAAATCACACTTTTTTTTGGTCATAAAAAAACCTCAAGCTATACTGGGTTGCATGTAACAGAAGACACAAAATACAAGTGACTTAAACAGATAAGGGTTTATTCTTTATTATTATTATTATTATTATTATTATTATTGAGATGGAGTCTTGCTCTGTCACCCAGGCTGGAGTGCAATGGCATGAACTCAGCTCACCGCAACCTCCACCTCCTGGCGTCAAGCAATTCCCCTAGCTCAGCCTCCCTAGTAGCTGGGATTACAGGTGCCTGCTACCACACTCAGCTAATATTTGTATGTTTAGGAGAGATGGGGTTTCACCATGTTGGCCAGGCTGGTCTCGAATTCCTGACCTCAGGTGATCCGCCTGCCTTAGCCTCCCAAAGTGCTGGGATTACAGGCATGAGTCACTGTGCCCGGCCAGACCAGGGTTTAGTCTCATGTCAAAAGAAGCCGAGTTAGATAGTCCAGTTCCTCCTATCCTCTGGCTTCTGTCTCAGGTTACTTCGCGATCCAAGGTGGCTGCTAGAGCTTCAGTCCTCAGATCTGCATCCACACGGAGGAGGAGGGGAAAGAACAAGGAGACAGACCTAGTCACTTCCTTTAAGGGGGCTTCTCTAAAGTCCCATGCAGGACTTCTGCTTACATCTGGGATTGTGCTGGGAGGCACGGGGTTCCCAACCTGTGACTGACTGATAGAGGCGTATATAAGCCCCAGCCTTACAGAAGGCAATGCTGCAGTGCCCAGAGCCTCCTGTGTGAGCAGGCTAAGGCTGGAAACCACTCCCTCTTGTATCTTTCTTGCCTCAGTGTCTAGAGGAACTCTAGAAGCTTTTAGAAGCCTTCAGCTTCTGGAGATCTCAGGTGTACCTTGGCTTGTGGTAGATAACTCCAATCTCTGCCCACCTCTGTCTTCACGTGGCCTTTGTCTGTGTCCTTTCCTCTTTTTCATAAGGACACCAGTCATTGGATTAGGACTCACCCTAATCCGGTGTGATCTCATCTCAAGCATTCACTGATCATTTCTGCAAAGAGCCTACTGCCAAGTAAGGTCATGTGTGATGTTCTGAGTGAATGTGAATGTTTGGGGAACGACACATGGGATTCTACTTTTCAACAGATTTCTTTCTTTTTCTCTCTTTCTTTTTTTCTTTCTCTTTCTCTCTCTCTTCCTCTCTCGCTACCTCCCTTCCCTCCCTCCTTCCTTCCTCCCTCCTCCCTCCCCCTCCCTCCCTTCCTTCTTACTTTGTTCCTTCCTTCTTCCTTCCTCCCTCTCTCTCCCTTCCTTTCTTTCTTTCTCCCTTTCTCTCTTCCTCCCTCCCTCCTTCCCTTCCTTCCTTCTTTCCTCTCTCTTTCTCCATCTCTTTCGCTCTCTCCCCTTTCTCTCTCTCTCTCTTTCTCTCTTTCTGTCTTTCTTTCTTTCACAGTCTTGCTCTGTTGTCCAGGCTGCAGTCCAATGGTGCAATCTCAGCTCACTGAAACCTCTGCCTCCCAGGTTCAAGCAGTTCTCCTGACTCAGCCTCCTGAGTAGCTGGGATTACAGGGGGCCTGCCACCATGCCCAGCTAAGTTTTATATTTTTAGTAGAGATGGGGTTTCACCATGTTGGCCAGGCTGATCTCAAACTCCTGACCTCAAGTGATCTGCCTACCTCAGCCTCCCAAAGTGCAGGGATTACAGGAAGGAGCAATCGTACCCAGGCAGATTTATTTATCTTGAGGTCTCATTTCTATGCATTTACAAGAAGTAGTCACACACACACACACACACACACACACACACACACACACACACGTTCTCTCCTGCACTTCGTTCCCAGCTTTCATGCCAGAGAGGCATCACATTCAGGCAGGAAGATGGGGGACAGGGCAGCTCCTTGAGATATGGATGGATGAAGTCCCAGGAGTCTCACGCCACGGGTCTTTATTGGCTTCTGAAAAGCCCGTTGCATGGGGGCTCCTGTCCAACACAGCAGAAATGGCCAGTGAATCTCAATAGCTTATCAGAAGGCGTCCTTAGTTTCAGGGTGTTTGTCGCTGTTTTTCAAAGATCCAAGGAAGGCTACACAGAGTCCCTTTGTATCCAGGTCCTTTCCCAGCCAAGCTTTCACAGTTGAGACTTTTCAGGGGTGGGAAAAGGTTTGGTGAGCTTTAGTCTCGGAAATCAGAGAGAAAAGTCAAGGGGGCCGTGGGGTCATCTCAGCAGGGGTGTCGGGATCCAGCACTGGAAAGCAGAGGCTGCTGTGGCAGGGTCTGGGCGGGTTTTATTCTCGTGGCTGGTCTTCCCCGATCACTTTCGTCTTAAAACAGAACAGCAACAAAAAACAGTTGTGAGCGTGTGTGCTTACTTTGGATCAGCAAGACAAAAGTCAGCAAGGAGGCCAGGTTCCTCCACAAAGATGGGAGAGGATGGAGGGAGGAAAGACAGAGGGAGGAAAGCAGGCAGGTCTATAGGGAGTGTGGCAGGGAGAAAGAAGGTCAGAGTGAGCTGATCGTGACTGGAAAAGGACTTCAAGAACAGATACATCCATCCAGTGTTATGGCTGCAGCCACAGAGCATTAATCGGCATCCTTGATTTGAGTGATAGAACCAACCCCCATCTCCAACTGGCTTATAGAGCCCCTGAGGAAGTTATGAGACTTGTGTAACTGAAAGTTTCAGGCATGGCTGGATCTAGGTGCTCATGCAGTGTCCTCACACCTTCCTGTCTCCCGGTTCTGCTTTTTTCTTCTCAGCTTCCTTCTAAGGCAGGTGCTCCTCAAGGTGGGGGAAGCATTTCCACTGGCTGTTTGGTCGCCCTGGTGAGGAAGACTTATATGGTTGATTATGTCATGGACCCTGATTCTTCACCATTTCCTGATCACACTCATTGCCAAGTAACTTTGCAAGGCTTGGCCCATGTGACTTGCTTGAGCCAAAACAATGACATGGAAGTGAGTGTGGTGTGATTCCAAGTCCAGTCCTCCCGGAACTTGTCTGCGTCTGCCAGTTCTTTTGTGCACCTGCCATCCCCATGAGAAAGATATGCCCAGGCTGTCCTGGTGATTCCAGGAGGAGGAGAGACACACAGAGCAGAGCTGAGTTATCCCGGCCCCAACCCATTTATGCCTAGTGTTCCATTATTGGAATGCTAAGCATGTGGGAGTTATTTATATCTGCTCAAGGTCATCGCCAAGGTCTGGTTGCAAAAATTCAAAAAATTGCAACCTCAGGCATAAATAAATGGGTTAAGGTAATCCTGGATGAGTCAACCACTAGATGTGTGACTCAGCCCAGGCAACATTGGAGAGGTGAACCCCTCAGGGGTTCATGACAAGAGAAATCAACGTCATGAATGCCACTGAGATGAAAACACCCAACCATGACACCTTCTTTCTCAACCATTCCAGCAGAAGCTCCAAGCCACCTGCTCAAATCCAAGCCAGTCCCTGCCATTTTTTACACCTCTCACATTGCATGGGCTGAAATCAGGAGGGTTACCTTCCCAAAGGAAAACTGGGGCCCTGTTATTGGAAGATGGAAAAGATGGTGAGACCCACTACAGAACGCTCCTCTGGCTTCAGCCATCTTTTTGATCTTCTTACCATCTTTTCTCTGAGGGAGATTTGGGAATTGAATGTTTTTCAAAAGACACTGATTTGTTCTATTAATAAAGCCACGGAAGGAGACTACCAGGCCTCTTAAAAAGCTCACGAGTTTGACCAATCTGCTGGGAGAGTGGCTGAGTCCCAGCAGTCTTAGCAGCCTGGGGTCACGCTCCATGTGATAAATATATTATAGGTCTCTCCTGGCGCTTAGGACCTATTTTCAGTTCTGTCTCTAGCTTCCTATCAGAACCTTGCTGAATCAGTATGTCTCCACTCAAGCATTTTTCTGTATTGACTAAAAACACTATCAGGAAATTAAATGAAACGTATAACTTATTGGTCGTATTCGTAACCCCATCAGTTAATATTTAGCACAGATTATTTACTATATATATCTGAAAATAAGGTGAGTTTTTTTTTCTCCCCAAAGTTATCCCTCTGCAAAGAGGGAATGGCCTGATGTTTGAAACCTCCAGCGACTCTCACATTTTGCAGTGCCCTTCCCGTTTACTTTATTTGGATCAACTTTTGTTGTATTTTTACTGTTGGGGAAGCTTATCTGTAAAGGCTGCACATCTACACAGGTTTTGGCTGCTTAGAGAGGTTGCCTCACAGAATCAGCATTATTTAAAAGAGAAAGAGAAAATATGGACTCAGTAATTCTGGTTTTATGAGTTTACAAATTCAGTTGCAAATTTTATAAACAAGTCTTTTAAGATCACAAATGTGTACATCTAAAACAAATTTGTAAATAAAAGTGCTAGAATTCATGTGAGTAGGTATTAGGTCTTTTATTTTTTATTCTGTCTGAGGCACTGTCTCCAGAGGTCCTGAGAACATGTGTCCAGCTAGTTAGGTCTTGAGATAGTATCCAAAAGTATCATTATCATAGCTGTAGAAAGTTTCCTATCTCAAAAGAGGAGACATCCACAGATAATATACACTGAAAATGTGTGCTGGGCATCTTGAAGAAAGGGGACACTGGTATAGCAAAGACACAGATGCTACTGGTGCAGATGGAGAATTTGAGTGAAACTATTACATGAAATGTGAAAGAAAAACAGCCATGTTTCTGCATTAATAAACCATAGCATTCAATGTGTGATGTTAACCAGGCACATGCCCCAATGGTTCTTTAAATAACATGGAGACTGTTTCATCTACAACCACAGACACGTGGATGTGTCTTGGCTACTGCACTGTAAGACTTGAAATTGAGTAGGTTGATTCCTCCCTTCATTATTCTTTTTCAAAATTGTTTTTAGCTATTTTAGTTCCCTTGCCTTTCCATATAAATTTCAGAATATTGTCTAAACCTACAGAAAAAAATCTGGCTGGGATTTTTATAACAATTGTGCTAAACCTCTGTATGCATTAAACCTGGAAAGGGCTGACATATTTACTATGTTGCGTCTTCTAATTTATGAATGCAGCATGTTTCTGCATTTGTTTAGTTATTCTTTGCTTTTTAAAAAACTTTAAAAATTGTTTATTTATTTATAGCAGGGTCTCACTTTGTTGCCCAGGATGGTTTCAAACTCCTGGATTCAAGCAATCCTCCCACCTCGGCCCTCCCAAAGTGCTGGGATTACAGGTGTGAGCCACTGCACCCAGCCTTGATTTTTTTTAAATCAAGTATTTTGGAATTTTTAGTATACGTAAAGCCCTGTACATATTTTGTTAGATTTACACCTATTTCATTTATTGGAGTGATTGTAAGTGGTATTCTATTTTTAATTCTAGCGTTCTTGTGATCATTGCTAGTATTTAGAAATCCAGTTGATGTTTGTATGTTTATCTCATATCCTGCAACCTTGCTGAACTCAGTTTAAACCAGAGGTGTTTTCCTGATAGATTCTTTGGGATTTTTAAAATGTGGACAATCACGTCATTTTTAAATCGGGACAGTTTTCTTCCTTTCTAATGTATAAATGCCAATGAGTATGCAACTATGATGTGCAACTTTCAGTGTTGCCCAAGTTATAAGAGGATGATGCCGTGGCTGTGACTTTGAAAAACAAAGAATGGCGGGGAGTGGTGGCTCACGCCTATAATCCCAGCACTTTGGGAGGCCGAGGCGGGTGGATCACGAGGTCAAAAGCTCGAGACCATCCTGGTCAACGAGGTGAAACCCTGTCTTTACTAAAAATACAAAAATTAGCCAGGCATGGTGGTGCGCGCCTGTAGCCCCAGCTACTCGGGAGGCTGAGGCAGGAGAATTGCTTGAACCCAGAAGGCTGAGGTTGCAGCGAGCCGAGATCGTGCCATTGCACTCCAGTTTGGGTAACAACAATGAAACTCCGTCTCAAAAAAAGAAAACAAAAAAAACAAAGAATGGTCTATCAGTCGCAGCTGCTGCAGCCATTTTGGCTATTTGGCAGAGGTAGTAATGCTGCCTTTCGGAACTACAATACAACCAAATCTTTGTTCAAATCATCTCACCTCCTGGTGTTCGTAAGAAAGGAGGGTGCTTTCAGGAGCTGAGCTCATGGCACAGGTCCCAGGAGTGACTTACGAGCCTCACCGCTAGGAGCCGCTTAGGTGCAGCCCCTGGGTGGGCGGGGACTGTGTTTCGGGGCGTGGCCTCCGCCGCGGCAGCGCCCTCCCCCCTCCCCCCCCCCCCCCACCCAGCTCCTCCTAAACGCGTGAGGGCGCTGTGAGTCTCTGTGGCTTGCAGGGGCGCTCTTTCTCAGCTTTCTTGGGTCGTACTGAGGCTTTCGGGACTGCGGCGGGAAGATGGCGGCCCCCCGGGATGGGCTTGAAGCTGTGGAGGCAGAGGGCAGCGCAGGGCTCCAAGGGACCTCGGGAATAGAGGTGGTGCTTCCCTTGGGTCCCGCTGTTTCGGCCCCGCTGTGCCCTCACGGTGGGTCAGAGTCTGGGCTCAGCCTAACTTCCGGGCGCTGAGGGTGTGAGTTGGCTTTGAAGTGGCTTTTGGGGCTCGTGTATGTTTATCCGCCTCTTTCCCTCACCATGTGCTGCCTAGAAAATACACCTTCCTCGGAACGTGGTGTTTTTCAGTTTCCTTGAAAAATATTCAGAGCAAGTCTCCACTGTTGTGATTTTGGCTCCAGGACTGTTTAATCTCTTTTGTGGGGGGCGCGTAGGCAAAGAGAAGGATGCATGGTATTGAATAGTTCTCGTTGACAAGTACCTGGGGATTTCATTTGCTGATTTGCTGTCCTTTAAAAATAAAAAATTAGGAAGAAAGACAGAGTGTAATTCTTGCTTGGGAACTAGACTCAGTTTTCTGTAACTTACAGAAAGTGGGCGTAAGCTTTTCACTCTAAGGGTAACCTCGCAGAGATGTCAAAGTCCTCAATTCTCTGAGTCCCCCTCCTTGTTTTAGTCTCAGGTTTGTAACATTCACCACGTAGACAGCAGCTATACTGACAAGAGCATTTTCTTTCTGGAGAGACCAGTTTTCAAAAATTATTTATAAGTAGTCACTGCAAACAGAGAAAAAAAAACATTCATTTTTTTTCATTCGGAAAAAAAAAAAAAAACACGTGGTGGCGTGCGCCTGTAGTCCCAGCACTTTGGGAGGCGGAGGCAGGCGGATCGCTTGAGCCTGGGAGCTTGAGACTAGCCTGGGCAAAAATGGTGATACCCTGTCTCTACAAAAAATAAAAACAGCCGGAGACCGGCCTTTGTAGTTCCAGCCACTTGGGAGAGTGAAGCAGGAGGATCGCTTGAGGCTAGGAAGTAGAGGTTGCAATGAGCCATATGGTGCCCCTGCACTCCGCCCTGGGCGACAGAGGGAGACCCTGTCTCAAGAAAACAAAACAAAACAAAAAAACAAAAGCCAAAAACAACCAAAGAGATGAATTTAATTATGATAAAGTGTGCGTAAAGCTCAAACAAATTTTATTTAAGGGCAGTGAAAAGTAATTTGATGTAGATGACCGTTATTTGACACTTCTTTTTTTTTTTTTATTCTGGAACTAGGACCCACTCTTCTGTTTGTAAAGGTAACCCAAGGGAAAGAAGAAACTCGGAGGTTTTATGCATGTTCAGCCTGTAGAGATAGAAAAGACTGTAATTTTTTTCAGTGGGAAGATGAAAAGGTATATCAACGTTTTGGATATTTATTTTTTTATTTTTGGTATATTTGGCAATTTTATTGAGAATGTGTAAACAAAAATGTGCGGTCTGAACACATAAGATAAATCTCTTAAGAGAGATGAAGATACTATGTTTGTTGGTTCAGAAAACTGGATTTCATGCCTACTCTGATTACTGATACCTTAAACTACTGTCTTGAAGTCTTAATTCCATGTTAAACTCTCTGAAGTGGTAATATTGAGTGGCTGATCTTCTATCTTAGCTTGGGCTTCTATCACAGAAGTACCATAGGCTGTGTGGCTTAAACAGCAGGCATCTGTTTCTCACAGTTCTGGAGACTGGGAAGTCCAGGATCAAGATGCTGGCAGATCCATTGTCTGGTATAGGTCCTGTCCTCTTCCTGGTTTGCAGACATCCATCCTTCCATTATATCCTCATTTCCCAGAGGGAGGAAGCAAGCACTGTCTGTCTTAGAGGGACACTAATCTCATTCCTGAAGGCTCTACCCTCTTGACCTAATTACCTCCTAAAGGCCCCTCATTTAAATACCGTCACCCTGGGTTAACGTTAAGGCTTCAACATATTTTAGGGGGCACAAACATTCAGTCCATAGCACTGTTGGGCAATATAGATTTCTCACTAAAGAGAAATCACGATCATTCCAGAAAGTGTTAAAAAACACTTTTTTTGAACGTTTGCATTGAACGTCCCTTATACAGCTATTAGATGACCAATGAAGGCACTGAGAGATATAGTTATGAGCTTGGTGTCCTCTTGGACTTAGCTCCGGTTGAAGTTTCTGAAAGCTTTGACAAGAGAATTTTCTGTTTTGTTAGGTTTATGGAAAAACAGTATTATATATCACTCTTCTGCAGACCCATTAAGGTGAATGTTTGGCTTGTGTCCTTTTTGCTATTGTGGATCATGCTACAGTGAACATATGTGCATTTATCTCTCAGTGCTTTAATATACTGGATATTGCTTCAAGCTGCTCTAGAATTTTCCCAGTTTTCAGTGTTTTGTTTTCCCCTGAAATGAATGCGTGTTGAATTTTTTGAATTTCTGGCCTCTTGATGTCAGAACATGATACCAGTTCTTCTGGGATGATAGAGGCTTCCTCCTTTATTCAATGCATTTTGTACTCTCTTTCAGTTGTCGGGAGCTAGACTTGCTGCCCGAGAAGCTCATAACCGAAGATGTCAGCCTCCCCTATCCCGAAGGCAGTGTGTGGAAAGGTACTGATGTGGTGTCATTTTTCTTTATTAGTTTAGCTGTCATGTTTCTTTGTTATTGTCTTTTTCTGTGCCTTTAAGTTTACTTTCATTTATTTATTGTGTGTATATATATATATATATATATATATCATATATACACATAAAATTTGCCATTTTAATCATTTTCAAGTATGCAATTTAGTGACCTTAAGTACATTCACGGTGGCCGGGCGTGGTGGCTCATGCCTGTAATCCTAGCATTTTGGGAGGCTGAGGCAGGTCAATCACCTGAGGCCAGGAGTTGGAGACCAACCCAACCAACATAGAGAAACCCCATCTCTACCAAAAATACAAAATTAGCTGGGTGTTGTGGCACATGCCTGTACTCCCAGCTGCTGGGGAGGCTGAGGCAGGAGAATTGGTTGAACCTGGGAGGCAGAGGTTGCGGTGAGCCGAGATTGTGCCATTGCACTCCAGCCTGGGCAACAAGAGTGAAACTCTGCCTCAAAAAAACAAAAAAGTAAAAGTACACTCATGGTGTTATGTGACCTTCATCCCTATTCGCAAAACTTGTTCATTGCTCCAAACAGAAACTATCACTATTAAGCTGTAACTCCTCATTCCACCTTCTCCCAAACCCTGGTAGCATCTGATTTATTTCTGTGGTACTTTTTGAGACAGGGTCTCACTCTGTTGCCCAGGCTGGAGTGCAGTGGTGCTGTCCTGACTCACTGTAGCCTCGACTTCCTGGGCTCAAGTGATCCTCTTACCTCAGCCTTCTGAGCAGCTGGAGCTTCATGCACACGCCACCACACCCAGCTAATTTATTATTATTATTGTTATTATTTTTGAGACAGTCTTGCTGTGTCACCCAGATTGGAGTGTGATGGCACTATCTCGGCTCACTGCAACCTTTGCGCTGAGGGTTCTAGTGATTCTCCTACCTCAATTTCCTGAGTAGCTGGGATTGCAGACCCTTGCCACCACACCTGACTAATTTTTTTGTATTTTTAGTAGAGATGGGGTTTTGCCATGATGGCCAGGCTAGTCTTGAACTCCTGACCTCAGGTGATCCACCTGCCTCGGCCTCCCAAGTGCTAGGATTACAGGCGTGAGCCACCATGCTTGGCCTATTGTTTTTTTTAGAGACAGGGTCTTGCTGTATTGCCCAGGCTGGTCTAGAACTCCTGGGCTTAAGGGATCCACCCACCTCAGCCTCCCAAAGTGCGAGGGTTACAGGCGTGAGCCACTGTACCCAACTATTTTTGTTGCTATGGATTTGACAGTTCTATATACCTCATATAAGTGAGATTATACAATATTTGTCCTTCTGGGTCTGACTTATTTTACTTAGCATAATGTCTTCAAGGTTCATGCATGTTGTAGCATGGATTAGAACAGGATTCCTTTTTGTAACTGAATAATATCCATTGTCTGTATATACCACATTTTAAAAATCTATTCATTTGTTGATGGACACTTGCATTGTATCTACTTTTTTGCTGTTGTGAATAATGCTGGAGTGAACATTGATATACAAATATTACTTTGAGACCCTGTCTTCAATTCTTTTGGGTATATACCTAGAAGTGGAATTGTCAGTAATTCTATTTAATTTTTTGAGGACCCACCAAACTGTTTTCCATAGGGGCTGCACCATTTACATTCCCACCAGGCATATATCAGTGTTCCAATTTCTCCACATCCTTGTCAACACTTACTATTTCTTGTTTTTTTGATAATAGCCATCCGGGTAATTGTGAAGTGGTATGTCATTGCAGCTTTGACTTTTGTTTTTCACCAAATTACTAATGATGTGAATCATCTTTTCATGTGCTTATTGGCTCTTTATGTATGATCTTTGGAGAAATGTCTATTCAAGTCCTTCATCCATTTTTAATTGGGTTATCTTTTTGTTCTGGAGTCACAGGAGTTCTTTATATGTTCTGGATATTACACCCTTACCAAATAAATGATTTGCAAGTATTTTCTCCCATTTTGTAGATTGTCTTTTCACTTTCATGATGTCCATTGAAGCACAGGAGTTTTAATTTTGATGAAGTTCAAGTTATCAATTTTTATGTTATTGCTTATGCTTTTGGTGTGTAGATCAGAGCCCATTATCAAATTGTTGTCATGAAGATTTGCTGTGATGTTTCTTTTTTGAAATACTAAACCAAATAAATTTGAAAAAGCTATAAACATCTATTTTTAAAAATCTGCATTGTTGAAATGTTTTATTGGGAGGATTAGAATTGAGTCATAGATTTAATTTTTTGACAAACTTGTGAAAAGAATTTATCCCTCACCTGTGTCACTGACATTATACAGTATGGGCTAGGAGAAGCTCTTTAAAAAGCCTTTTATCTAGATTACTGGTGACAAATAGGTTTTCACTTTTATGAGAGCTCCTTCGTTTTATCTGGGCTGCTGTGTTCAGAAAGATTGTGAGGCCTCATCTAGACTAAGCACAGAGGAGTACTGGGGAAATATATAATATTTTTCCTGAGCTGCTTAGTAGTAGATTTTAAAGTCCTTTGATACAGGAGGCATTTCTCAAGATAACTTGATTGCCCCTTACTACAGTGCTTAATCAGAGATGTCTATGTATTTACTGTATGGGAATTCAGTCATCACCCAAAACATCTTGAAAAGGGAATTGAAAAAAATTGAGGCTGGGTGCGGTGGCTCACACCTGTAATCCTAGCACTTTGGGAGGCCAAGGTGGGCAGATCACTTGAGGTTAGGAGTTCTGAGACCAGCCTGGCCAACATGGTAAAATTCCATCTCTACTAAAATTACAAAAATATGCCAGGCATGGTGGCAGGTGCCTGTAATCCCAACTAGTTGGGAGGCCAATGCAGGAGAATTGCTTGAACCTGGGAGGCGGAGGTTGAAGTGAGCCAAGATTGCGCTGTTGCACTCCAGCCTAGGTGACAGAGTGAGACCCTGTCTCAAAAGTCTCAAAAAAAAAAAAAAAAGAAGAAAAGGAAATGGAGCACTAATGTGAGGTAGGCACTGTGCTAGGTGTTTTACATGAGCTATTATTTAGTCCTGCAGAGGTGGTTTACTTAGATGAGAAAATTGAGGCTTGTAGGAGTTATACTTTATCATGTTAATGCTATGAGAAGTACTAAGCTGCGACTCATCTTATGCCTGATGCTAAGGGATTATTTTTAAATGTAAAAGCAGATAGTAATATATGATGTATGGTGATTTAATTTGAGGATATATAAGGAGATAAAAGGTAAGGACTACATTGTAGAGAAGTGTCATAGTGATTATTGAAAGAAAATAAAGTATTGAAGATGGAGAAATAGAACCACATTGCCCGTGGTTTCTTACTTTGAACTCATGACCTTGGTCATTTTGTATAATTTCCTCCTGGCTTTTTTCCCTGTGCCAGGTTTGTTTGTGGCCGTAATGTATACATAGTTTTGTATTCTGTCCTTAACAGGTACGCTTATCTGATAAGCATGTTTCTGTTAGGATATTGGTGATTTAATTAAACTTTGTCAGAACATCTAGGTGATCTTATTTCTATGCATAATAAAATTTTAGTTTGGAGCTAAACCACTGTTCTTTTTTAAATTTTTTATTTTTCAGTCTCCCTTATTTTTTTTTTTTTTTTTGAGATGGAGTTTCACTCTCATCACCCAGGCTAGAGTGCTAGAGTGCAGTGACACGATCTCGGCTCACTGCCACCTCCACCTCCTGGGTTCAAGTGATTCTGAGTAGCTGGGATTACAGGCACCTGCCACCACTCCCAGCTAATTTTTGTATTTTTAGTTAAGATGGGGTTTTACCATGTTGGCCAGGCTGATCTCAAACTCCTGACCTCAGATGATCCGCCCATCTTGGCCTTCCAAAGTGCTAGGATTACAGGCATGAGCCACTGCACCAGGCCTAAACCACTGTTCTTATCTTTGTAGTGCCAGAATATGTTTATTTGATACAAAAAAAAAAAAAAAATCTTTGAAATGGCCAGGCACAGTGGTTCACACCTGTAATCCCAGCACTTTGGGAGGCTGAGGTGAATGGATCACAAGGTCAGGAGATCAACACCGTCCTCCTGGCCAACATGGTGAAACCCCATCTTTACTAAAAATACAAAAATTAGCTGGATGTGGTGGCGCGCACCTGTAGTTGCAGCTACTTGGGAGGCTGAGGCAGGAGAATTTCTTGAACCCAGGAGGTGGAGGTTGCAGTGAGCCAAGATCACGCCACTGCACTCCAGCCTGGTGACAGAGTGAGACTCTGTCTCAAAAAAATAATTTTGAAATTCATATTTTATATTAATTAGAATATAAAAGCTAGCTAAAATGTGAATTATTAAAGAATTCCAAAAGGTTATTTTTTTGGGGGTGGCTATAATTTCATGTTTTGTCTAGTGCTAATTCTTGCCAGCGTATCTCAATAAAATGCTTTTCAATATTTTAAATCACCTATGACCCATTATCTTGGATTTTGTTGCCCGAAGTCTCCATCCAAACATCTGTCCACTCAGTCATTCACTCATTCATTCATTCAGCAGGTATTTGTTGAGGGCTTAAAAAGAACTTAAAATGCTAGTAATGGAGTTGAGATATGGAGATAAAGATTATATGGTACAAAGTAAGGCATGTTAAGTATCCAAGGTATTCATAGAGAACAGTAAGCGACTTGGAAGTTGGAAGCCTCGGGGCTAATTTGTGGCCTAGGTGATCAGTACAGGGTAAGGAGAGGGCATGTGAACAGGTTTTGGAAGATGGGTAGAAGTTTATTATTATTGATTTCACTGTATCACTTTGCAATCAGTGTTCCTATGCTTTTTTATATGCTTTCTATGGAGCAAACAGTTTGAAATCAGTCATTCTTCTGAAAACATTCAGTGTCTTAAGATAGACAGTCCTGTTATAATTTTGGCTTTTTAAAATCAAAGACATAATAAATAACCTATTCTCTTTCTCTGTCTTCAGCTTGAGACTAGCAGTTCATTCTTATGTCTTCCTAAGGATGATGTACTATTGGTGAGATTGTAA